TGTCGGGGTAGGGGTGGAATGGCACTCACCTTCCACTTACACAGTCGCCAGCCGGACTGAAGCGCTGAGCACATCAGCATGGAAACCGAGTGCACTACGGTCTGGGACAGCCGCATCAGGGAGCGACTCTGGTGACTCTCGAGAATCTCCAGAGTCTCACTCTCTCGGCGCACAGTGGGGTGCACAGCGGGGTGCACGGAGGGCCTTTCCTTGACAGTGGCCAACACAGGGGGTTCAAGGCCCCCCGGGCACACATTCAGGTCAGAGACCTTGGACTCTTTGCGGGGCTTGACCAAAGTTTTCACATCGAAGTCCGTGGAGGTCTTCTCCACTCCCTTCAATGGTTGTTTCTTGGGCTGCCCGGATGTGTATGGCTTGGCTTTACGTTTCCAGGACATGACCTAAGAAATAAGACACAGGGTGGGCTAGATGGCTCAGTGGCTGAAAACTCCTGCCAGCAGTGGGCCTGACAACCTAAGGTGGGTCCTTGGCTCCTATAGTGGAGGGAGAAAATCAATTCCCAAAAGTTGGCTGCTGACCTCCACACTCCATGATACGTGCAACCCCCTACACATCACAACAACAGCAATACAGAGGGGAGAGAGCAGACCCTGCTGTAAACACAGGGAAGCTAGGGATGACTGCCCCCCCCCATGGTTCCCCAAAGCCCCTCCCTGGCCCTTTTAAACCCTCACACTTCCTGCCCTGTCTCGTTTAGCCCCAAGAGACCGAGCAGGAGGGCAAAGTCGTGAGGGTTGCTATGGCCCAGACGTCATGAACCAGACTGCCCATCTCCTGGCCATGTTGGGTTTGTGGAACTCACCCAGCCGGTCATCTTTCGCCAAATTCGCCTAACCCATTTCAAGAGCCTCCCGACCATGGTCATCTCTCCTCCAGACACAAGTCCGAAGTATGGTGCAAAGCCGGCATTTGGAGTGTAGAAGGGAAAAGGCTATGGGCCAGTGGCCACCACCAGAGAGAATTCGTGGGTCCTGAGGAGCTTCAAGCACAGTAGGGAAGGAAGAAATCAGAAATCCAAAGGAAGTGTGCCCCCCAGTGGCTCATGCCAGGCCCTTCCTCCCCTCCCTGGGACAGGGAGAGGAGTCAAAGTGGATGAGAACTTAGAGTGAGGGAGTGTTCTAGATCATTGTGAGAGCTGCCGGCCCCAACCCCCCAAGGACCTCCCAAGACCTTTCAGAGCCAATCACTGATGCCTTGTCCCTTCTGGCCCAAGACCCAGGATAATGAAATCAACACCAATCAAGAGCCCAGATACACTGTCTGTGGATTTTGCTAGTCAGTCATGACAGCAGTACTTCAAGGTAAGTGTCATGGATAGTGACTACAAGATTCACAGTAACTGGATTTGAGGGGGCTGGAGAGATGGCTCAGTCGTTAAGAGTGCTCTTGCAATTACTTCGATTTGGCTAATTCCTACATACTAAATATTTACGATTTCTTCACACATGGGTATTTCCCTTTACCTAAGCCCCCATTCCAGCCCCCCACAATCCCCTGTGCTCCATTCCCCTGGATTATTTTTGCTATGTTAGACGCCTGAAAAATGTTGGTGATGTGGGGGATCTGTCCCTGCATGTGAGTGAACGGGATGAGAAAGCAGAGTGTGCCCCTTGGGATTGAGGACTCTGTATTCGAGGTGGAGAAATTTGATTGTGTTACTACAGGAGGAGCAGCAGAGGAAAGGAGATGCCTAAGAGGTGTGAGGAGGAAATAAGAAAAAGGAAACATGGCCTTCTCATCTGTTTGTTTTCATGACTAATTTATACACCTATACTATATCAGTGTCGGTTGCTACTGAGAATTCAGCTGGGCTGAGCTGGGCTGCTTGTGCAATTGTGCTGGTTATCTTTAGGCTTATCAGTTATTTGTCCCATCAGACACTTTACCAGTGTTCGGTCCAGGCTGTACAGATGATGTATTTGGATGTTGTCATTGTTCATCTACAGACTCAAATCATAATCATTTTAAAGTACCTTGGGAATGTGTAGAGTGTAACTATAATAGCTTTATGATTCTGGTGATTTTTTGTTTGTTTGTTTTTTGTTTTTGAGACAGGGTTTCTCTGTGTAGTTTTAGTGCCTGTCCTGGATCTCGCTCTGTAGACCAGGCTGGCACCACCACCACCTGGCTCTGATGATGTTTTTTTGTTTTTTGTTTTTAACATGGATCTTCCATGTTAACAATCACAAAATTAGAAACAGTATTAAAAAATAAAAGAAAAAAGAAGAGCGCTCTTACTGCTCTTCCAGAGGACCCTGGTTCAATTCCCAGCACCCACATGCTAGTTCACAAGCCTCTCTATCTCCTGTTCCAGGGAATCCAGCACCCTCTTCTGGCCTCTGTGGGCACCATGCACTCACATAGTACAGACATACATGCAAGCAAAGCACCGATACACACAAAATAAAGATAAAATAAAAAGCTGGCTCTGAAATAGGCATGGTGGTATCTGCCCAGAATCCCAGCACTTGGGAGATGAGGCAGGCGGATTAAAGAGTTAAAAGCCAGTTTCAGCAGGTTAGGGTGATAGTTCTGTCAGTACCGGGGACCACACAAGCAGGAGAACTCGAGTTTGGGTCCCCAGCATCCCCTGGTGGGGCTGGTCTGCAACACTAGTGGGGAAGCGGAGACAACAGAGTCCTGGGGCTTCCTAGGCAGTCCAGCTCAATCAGCACCGGGCCCAAGGAAGACGGCCTGTCTCAAAAAACACTGTGGGCCGGCATGTGGTGCATCCCTGTAATCCCAGCACTCGGGAGGCAGAAACAGGAAGACCTCTGAGTTCGAAGCCAGCCTGGTCTACAGAGTTCTCGGACAATCAGGGTTACACAGAGCAAGAAACCCTGTCTCCAAAAAAGGAAAAAACAAAAACTATAGACGGTGATTGAAGAAGACACACAAGGGTAATTTCTGGCTCCACGTGCATGTGCACACACAGATTCAAATCAAAGTCGGCCTCAGCCACCTAGTGAGTTCAAGGCCATCACGGGCCAGGTGACATCCTAGTCACAACAACAACAAAAGACTGAGGTTACAGGGCTAGAGAGACGGCTCAAGCAGTTAAGAACACTGGCTGCTCTTCCAGAGGCTCTGGGTTCAATTCCCAGCACCAACATGGCAGCTCACATGTCTGTAACTCCAGTTCCGGGGATCTGACACCCTCACACAGACACTCATGCATGCATGCACTCAAAAACACCCATGCACATTAAATAAATAAATCTTTAAAAAAAAAAAAAAAGGTGAAAAAAGACTGAGGTTTAGGCTCAGTGGGTAACGAGCTGAGTTGGGATCCCGAGAACTCCCAGATGTGGCAGCACACTCATTTGCAACGCCAGCGCTCCCAGAAGGAAAGGAGGGGTGAGAGAGAGGAGCAGGGCAGCTAGCCTGGCATCCACGGCGGCCCACGAGAGACCCTGTCTCCAGCAAGGACAAAGGTGAAGACTGACACGCACGTTTATCCTCTCGTCTCCTCACGAAGACCACGTCACCACACACACACACACACACACACACACACACACACACACACGGGCCAAAGCTCAGCACCGTGGTGAACACCCGTAATCCCTGCACACAGGAGCAGGCAGGCTTTCAAGACCATTCTTGACTATATAGCAAGTCTGAAGCCAGGCTGGCCTACAGGCTGAGACCGTTTCAACCACCACACCCTGACTCTAAAAGGCATGGGGTCCAATCTGGCTGGGCCGCCAAGGACTTAACGCCACAAGACATTCTCCCTCGAGGCTCCAACTGCTGTTGCCTTTTTCTCCACCAGAGGGGGGTCCTTCTCCTTGGCTGCCTCCATCTGACTGGGATAGAAGCCCAGGCTGGCCGGGAGGAGCCTGCTCACCCCTGGGCGGAGTCCTCATCCAGCCAGGGGTGGGGTGGAAGCCAAGGCGGCCTGCCAGGCCTGGCGAGAGCACCATGTGCCCAGAGCGCCTGGCCCACACCCAGCCTGAAGACAAGGGACCCATTCAGGGTTCTCTGCCCTGCCTCCCAGCAGCCACCCGGATCCAGCCCACAAGAGGGGACACACTGGGAAGCTGGGGGTGGATCCTCACACTCACCAAAGACTTCATTGTTATCCCCCCCTTCACACCGCCAACCACCAGCACGTGGGTAGACACCGCCCCCTACCTCTTTCCTGAGGCTAGCCTGCTAGGCCTTTCCAGGGACCAGGACCATCCATCTCTTTACTATTTTCAGCTACCTTCTCCAGGGTGGACTTGGGATCTTCAGGGAAACTGTGTGTGTGTGTGTGTGTGTGTGTGTCCACTCGTGTGCGGTTTTCGGGGGGGGGGTGCCCACAGAAGTCTGGACACAAGCACCACCACACCAATCTCCATATTCAAGTTTCTTCAGATTTTTTTATTATAATTATTATTTTAATAACAACCTGAATCCCAGAAGTTGAAGATACTGTCCATACACCCTCCCCTGGACAGAGGAGAGGTGGTGCTTGGAGGGGACAGGGTGGGGTGGGGGTGGGGCCTGCCAGGGAACCTCCAAATCTTTCCAGGCCATCTATTGCTGGGGGGGCAGGGGAGGGTCCCCAGAACACTGATACCCAGGGAAGGAGGTGGTGCTGGGTTCTTCCATGGATGAGGAGCTCCAGACAAGCACCCAATCCTGGGTTTTCCCTCTTCCCGAAAGGCCTGGGGACTCGGGGGAGACCAGGTGGGAAGGGACAGGCCAATAGCGAGCCTTCAACTCCCATCCCTGGGTGCTGGGGTTGGGTGCGGGCATTAAAGCTACACAGGAGGAGGAGGCCGGCGGCTGGCCCAGGGCCCGGCAGCCAGCGGCAGCCCCCCTCCGAAGGCACATTGTGAGGGGAAGGAGGCTCAGACGGAAGGTCCATTGGGTGCAGACGGCCCGAGCCGCGGAAGACCCGAGGATGGCAGCTGGGCCAGCTGCTCCGGGCTGGCCAGGGCACGTAGCAATCCGTTTTCCTGCTCCAGCGCAGCATTCCGCTCCGCCAGGTCTCGGATCTGCTCCTTCAGTACCTCGACCTCTTCTCGCACGGCAAACATGAGGTGGGATTTCACCAAGTCCTGGGCCCCAGGGACAAACCAACCATCAGGCCCTCCAGGCCACCTCCAGGGGCCATCTCCTACCCAGGTACCTTCAGGGAGTCATTATGAGACACCCAGCCCCCTGTGCCCAAAGGAGGGGAGAGAGAATAAAGAAGCGCACAAGGAGAGAACCCAGGGGCCAAAGGGCGAGAGACAGGCAGACAGGGATGGAGCACAGAGGTTAAGGAAGTCAAAAGCTGATGGAGTCGAGATGGGGCAGGACAACGGGAGCTTGTGTTCCCGAGTAATGGGAGAAGGGAGATGGACAGACGGACTGCTCCAGGGCCTCCTGGGACCAAAATGTCTTTTCTTACCATGGCTTGTTCAATCTTGTTGTCAATGCCAACCAGACTTCCGGAACCACTGGAGAAGACACGGAGAGACGTACAAGTTGAGGAGGAGGCGGAGGAGGAGCCCCAAGTCAGCTCTGCTACTGCCTTCTAGGTGCTCCTTGCTCTGACAGCCCAGCCTACACCCCACCCCGTGCCCCAGGTACCTGTGACAGTAGAGGATCAGGGGGAGGAGGCTTTTGTCCATCCCCCGGCGGGGTGACGGTCGCTGCCCAGGTCCCCCCAGGCCCTGGTGGGAAGGAGGTCCCAATGCCCCTCGGATGGGGGATGACCCCCGTGGGGAGCATGGGGAAGACACGCAGCCCCTTTTCCGGGGTGCCCCTGGCGCCATCCCGACCACTCGTGTCTCATACGACGATACCAAGGACTTCACAGAGACCCCTGGCTGGGACATTCCTGAGGTAAGGGTCATCAGCATCCACTCCCAACCCAGGGGCTGAGTCAGAGGGAGTGCCTGGGGGGCTCAGAGCCCCCCCGGGGCAAAGTAGAGTTCTGTGGATGCCAGGCAGGCAGAGAGGAGTCAGGACCTACCAAGTGCTGGCCTGAGAGATATACCCCCTGCCCTCCCCCTCAGGGCAGGCGCAGCGGCTATTGGTTCCTCAGGGACACGGGGACCCCCTCCCTTGGCTCCACAGTGGGCGGGAATTCCCAGACACACATGGTCTGTGTCCCCTTCCACCCTGGCACCACTCCCGGGCTGGAGGGGAAGGGGAGGCGAAGTCAGCTGGTGAGCCCCGGGCGGGGGAGGGGCTATAGGGCAAGAAGGCTGGCACGGGGAGGGGCTTGAAGGTGAGGGCTTAGGAGGCCTGTCCCCGACCTCTGCCTGCGCTGTCTGGATTAACCATAGCCTCCCTCGGGGAAAGGGAAGGGACGAGGGGAGGGTGGGGGCCGGGTGGGGGGCGGGGACAGATGTATTTGTGAGCACCCCCCACCAAATCCAAAATGTATGCATTTTATACAAGAGCCACCTAGGACAGAGGGTCCCCCAATTCCTTTAGTGGCGGAGAGAATTAGGGGTGGTGGGATGGTTTCCATAGCAACAGAAACATTCCCCCACCCCCACCCCCACGCTAGGAAGCCTGTAAATCAATGCCAGCCTGTATAGGATCTGAGGCTTGGATGTGGAGGTCTTGGAATGGGTCAGGGCTTAAGGGGGAAAAAAAGGTGAGGGTGGATACGAGACACTGGATAGACGAACAGAGACGTAATCCGTAGTTTTAAGGCCTGGCTGCAGTTTGTCCAGTGGCCACCAGAGGGCAACTCATGCCCGGCTCAAAGGCCCCAGGGCTCAGGCTCCTGATTGGCACCAGGATAATAGGTCTGGTTCTCACTCAAGCCCCTCTGGTCACCTAAGACTTTCTAGGGTCCCCTTGCCCCGCTGCAGCCTCCAATGTCTCTTTGGCCACCAGAGAGGGGGAGGCAGGCTCTTGTTTGGGTTACCCAAGCCTCCTTCCTGCCTCCCGCGAGACTCAGGGGTCTCCAGCCCCGTTCCCTCCCAGAACCAGGGTGCCACTTTGCTCCAATCACAGATGGCCGGCTCCCCTGTAGCCCCTCCCACACTGGCTGTCAGCTCCAACCTGCTTTCCTACAGGGGGATCTGTACTAAGTCCAAGGTGACCCTTGCTCGAGGCCCGGCTGTCAGAAAGGGAGCTGGGAATTTTCCATTTCCTGGCCAAGCTCTGAGTGCAGGAGGTGCTGACAGGTAGGACAACCAGGGCTGACCAGGCCAGAAGAGCAGAGTGTTAGTGACTAAGGACACCTGGAGCCCCCAAAGGCACAGAGGACACGTGTAAGAACGGAGGTGGAGGGGCAGAGGGGTTAGAGGCCAGAGGGTGAGAGGGTTCCTGGGTAAAGGCTCTTGCCACTAACCCTGACAACCTGAGCTCCATTCCCAGAACCTACATGGTGGAAAGCAAGCACAGACTTCCCCAAGCTGCCCTCTTGATCTCCACAAGCCTGGACACACACGAGTGTGCGAGCATACATACTCACAAGTGCACACACATGCACACACACACAAATAGAGGGCCAACTAGCCAGTGTCAAATCTGTTTTCAAGCCACTTTAACCCACAGTACCTGGGAGGGGAGTGAGCTACAGAAGTAAAAACCCAACACCCTTCCTCCAACACAGACACCAAAGATGGACAGACGGACCAGAATAGACGTGTCAGCCCTGCTTGGCGGACACTCGGGCCGAGATGCCAAGTTAAATCTTCTACCCTTGCCAGACATAAAGGAATAATACAAGCACCAGCATTTGTTGGCTGACTGATGGCTATCTCTTGTTTGTCTAGCTCAGGAGTTCGTGAAGGCACTTCCCCTACGCCATTCCAGCCCTAGCGACTTGAAGGGATGTGGGCTCTGGCAAGCCAAGCCAAGCCTTGATCGGCCGAGTGAGGGGCTGGTACACCGGACTTCCCGGGCAAGGCTGGGGGTGTCACAAGTCCCCACGCAACTCTGTGTGAACGAGAACGCAACAGCCCCTGCCCACGACACTACTACCATCGTTCCCCCAAACTGTCACCATTTCCAACATAGGCCGGGGGTGGCTCCTGGAAATGGCACCCCTGGGGGTTGCTCAGCGCACACAACCTGATGGAAGAAGACAGCAGGAAGGACCCTTGGGACGAGGGCGTCTCTCGAGGCTGGACTCTGCCTCGGGAGGTCAAGTGCGACAGCTTGAATCTGAGGTCAAGAGTTGGGGACGTTCAGATCCTGGGGATATTGGCCGGCTTGGCTCCCCACGTATGCGCTGGGAGCGTTCAGAGGCTGGGCCCGAGGCCAAGAAAGTGGTACCTATCAATCCTGTCTACACCCTCTCCCAGACCCGATTCTGCGGTGCCTTTGGGGGTGGGCAGGGCAGGTGTGGGCCAGGGAGGGGGAGGGGGAGGGGCTGGCGTCCGGCCCCGGTTTTTGAGCTGCCCCTGCCTGTCTTAGCAAAAGGGCATCGTAAGGACCACTGTCCCCTCCTGCTCTCTTGGGACACGCACATCCCAACAGGAGAGCGTGTGGCTTTAGGGTGAGACCCAGGTTCACTGACTGAGTGACCTTGGACAGCTTTCTAAAACCCTTTTCTCTTGAGTCTCGTTGTTTCCATCGGGAAAGTGAGGAATCATGGGATTGTTTTTACAATTCATGAGGTAAGCGTGTAGAGGGGTCATCCAGATGGCTCAGTGGGTAAAGGCACTTCCCACAGAGCATAATGACCGAGTTGGAACATCAGGAGCTACAAAGTGGAAGGAGAAAACAGACTCCCACAAACTGTTCTCTGACCTTTGACCTCTACCCCCACACAGTGGCACACATACATGCCAACGTGTATGTTATACACACACACATTCACAGGCAGATGAAAAAAACTTTGACTTAGCAGGGACTGGGGAGATGGCTCTCGGTGGGTAAAATGTTTGTGCCACAAGCAAAAGGACCCAAGTTCGAGCCCCAGAACCCAAGTAAAGAAAAACCAGGAGTAGTGGTACATGTTTATACTCTCAACTCTGGGGCGACAGAGACAGGAGAATCCATAGGTCTCGCTTGTCAGCCGAACTGGCTGATTCAACGGGTCTCATGCCAATGAGGTGCGCGCGCGCGCGCGCGCGCGCGCGCGCACACACACACACACACACACACACACACACACACGAAGGTAGATGGCTCCTGAGTTGTAATACTCAAAGTGGGCCCATGTGCACCCCCCACACGTACACACTCACACAAATGAACACACGAATGTGAACAGCGCTGGAGAGGCCCTGGTGGGACGCGTCTGTCACCTCAGCCTCTCAGGAGGCTGAGGTAAGAGGACCACCAGTTCAAGGCCTGCCTGGGCAACTTAGTGAGTCTGTCTAAAAGTAAAAAAACAAAACACGAGGACAGGGGGATGAGGTGAGCCTTGGTGTGCAGCTCAGTGGTAGTCTGTGCTCACACGGCGTCTGTGAGGCCCTCCATCTCCAATACCACAAAAAAACTAGAAGCAAAAGAAGAATAAAACAAAAACAACAACAAAAAAACAAACAACAAACAGGCACTGGACCCAAAGGAAGACATTAGACACAATAGTATGGCTTTGGGGCTGGAGAGCTGGCTCAGTGGTTAAGAGCACCGACTGCTCTTCCAGAGGACCAGGGTTCAATTCCCAGCACCCACATGGCTGCTCACAACTGTCTGTAACTCCAAGATCTGACATCCTCACACAGTCATATATGCAGCAAAACACCAACGCACATAAAAATAAATAATAAGTAATGTGGCTTTTCTGCCTCAAGCCTCTGGGACTCACTTCCCACACGGCCTTGAACAGTGGCATCTGCCCACTCCTTCATCCTAACCAAGTTATCTCCCACCCTGTACGGGATCACAGATCTTCCAACCGGGAAACAGTCTGAACTCACCAGCACCCTATTAACCCGCCCCAGATTCAAGCACCGGGAAGGCACCCCCAGCTCAACATGGTACCCCAGCACGTAACACCACAACCCATTTTTTTTTTCCCTCTCAAAAGGACACATTTTGCGCCACTGGGAACCTTGGTCTTCTTCTAGCTCTAGGAAACACATCCAACAGGTGAGGTGGGGTCTACCCACCCCATTCCTAGGGGGTAGAGGATGGCCCAACCCAAACCCGCTGGCCCAGCAGGGCGAGGCACGAGGGGCTGGGTTGGGCCAAAGCCCCAGAGCCTTGAAGGCTGGGAGCAACCGGTCAGACTAGGGCGTGCAGAGGGGGTGGGACAGGCGGGGGGAGGGGACCTGTCAAAAGAATGGGGCTGCGTTGGCTTCAACAGGTAGAACTCTCATGACAGAGAAAGCTGGAGGCTACGCGGGGAAAGGGGCAGAGGCGGGACATGGAGCCTTTTTGCCAGGGAACTTCCCAAATGGGGAGGGGGGGCGGGGTGGTTAGCGCTGAGAATAGCATCTGATGGGGCAGGTGACTCTCTGGCCCTGGCTGACCTCACACCTCACACATTCCTGCGAGGCAGCTGGAAGGCAGCTTGGAGGCTACCCTGCCCTGCCCTGCCCGGCCGACCCAGCACCAGCCCCTGTCCTCCAGCTCACATCTTCCTGGCCACCCCTTTCTCCTTTCCTTTATGGCCCCAACTCTCTCTCCTCTCTCTAGGCCTCAGGCCTCCTCTCTTTTGTGGGCCTGGGTCTAATTCCAGAGTGTGGTGGTAGCACCCAGGGGGAAGGTGGGGAGGGAAGATCGGCATCTGAGACAGGTCTCCTGGAGACACCCACTCTTCCAGCCCCACTCCTCAGTGCCTTCCCAACAGGAAGTCCCTCCCTCCAAGGGCCTCCAACAGGAAGTCCCACCTCTCCCTCCAATCAAATTGGAGGCTTGCGAGCTCATCTCTCCAGCTCCCACTTATCTGACTTGGTCAACATTTCTACGAATATTGAAAGCAAAAGTCTGCCCACCGCGCCACCAATGAGGCATTCACCCCCAATAAGCAAGGCCAATAGAAGTACCCCCGTCTCTGTGGTCCCTTTCCTGCCGCCAGGCATGGCTGTGGGAGGACTTGGTCGCCATGTTCCTCCAAAGCCTACTGGTCACCTCCTCTCCCAGGGAAGAACTTGAATCAGTTCCTTCTTTTCTTTCCTTTCTCTCTCTCTCTCTCTCTCTCTCTCTCTCTCTCTCTCTCTCTCTCTCTCTCTCTCTCTTTTTTTTTTTTGGACATGGTTTCATACATCCTAGGCTGGCCCCTAAAGTTGTTAGGTAGTTAAGGATGACCTTGAACTTCTGATCTGATCTTCCTGCCTCCACCCCTACCCCAGGACTGGCTGGGATGATAAAACACGCACTACCAACCTGGTTTATGCAACTGAGATCCGCCTGCCTTTGCCTCCTGAGTGCTGGGATTAAAAGCATGTGCCACCACCGCCCAGCTCTGCTTTGTTTGTTTTGGGGTTTTTTTTTTTTTGTTTGTTTCAAGACAGGGTTTCTCTGTGTAGTTTTGGTGCCTGCCCTGGATCTCGCTCTGTAGACCAGGCTGGCCTGACCTGGAACTCACAGAGATCCGTCTGGCTCTGCCTCCAAAGTGTGTGTGCCATCGATGCCCAGCCGAGGTTTTTTGTTTTAGAGACAGGGTACAGACCTGGCTGACCTAGAACTCAATCTGTAGACCAGGCTGGACTCACCCCCCACCCCACCCCCAACGACTGCGATTACTACTACTCTACCCTGCTCCAGGCTGGTTTCTAAACCCATGGTGATCCTCCTGCTTCAGCCTCCCCATTGCTGGGATTACAGGATGGAGCTACCACACTCGGCTCCTCCCACCATGTCTTGAGGCGGAGTCTCCCTATACAGCCCAGGTTGGCCTTGAATTTGAAACCCTATTCCCGCCTTCTGAATTCCAGATCACAGCTGTGCACCCAGCCTCCACACGGGGCAGGCAATGCTTTCTTGGTACTAGATATTCTTGGGCCCTAAAGTAGTCTGTGTGGATTAAGAGGATGTCAAGTCACAATCCTGGAGGACTCGAAAGCACCCTTTTCCCCTCGGAGATGAGAGCACAGGGAGATGCTGGTGGGGAAGGCACCAACCGCCTATGCATTCTATTTTTATTATTTTGAGAGAGGGTACGATATAGTCTATACTGGCCCCAAGGGAGTTTACACAGCACTGGAGACTGAACCCACGGCCTTGTGCCCGCTAAACAAGAGCGCTACCCACTGAGCCACACCCCCAGCTGTCTCCCCTGCCTTCTTCCCATTTTCTGTTTTTCTGTTGTTGTTCTGTTTTGGGAGACAGGGTCTCCCTATGTAGCCCTGGCTGGACTTGAACTCTGAGGTCCGCCGGCCTCGACTTCCCGAGTGCTGGGATTCAAGGCCTGTGCCGCCACCGCCCAGCCCCGTTTTCCATTCTCATCTCCAGTACATGCGCCAATGGATTTGATTCCTAAGGCTGGCAAATGACCTCTAGATCTGCAAGAGCTCTGAAATCCGACAACAATGACTCCCTTCTAACTCAAAAACTCTGACCTAACAGTCCTGGGCCAAGGAGTCCCACCCAGCTCTGTCCACAGAAAGGGAGTGGGTCCTAAGTGAATTTCACCCAGCCATTAATACCCCTGCGAGGTCTCTGGTTAGTCCCTTCCCAAGTTCATCCAAGGCGAAGGCATCAGGCAGAGTCGTGCAGGTGTGACACGGAGTGTCACCCTCCGGTCCCCCACAACACGGAAAGGGCCCGCCCACCTACCTGTCGTCGTCACTGTCCAGATGACCACTGATGGCCAGCATGGACCGAGCCAGGCTGAGACTCTGGGCTGCTGCGGCACCAAAGGGGTCTGGAGACTTGTGGACCAGGCTGGCGTCGAAGTAGAGGGCTGGTGAGTTGGGGCGAGAGTCGATCGGAGGCACCTGGAGGCAGAGGAGGAGCCGGTGAAGGATGGGGACGCGGCGCAGCTGGCAGAGTGCTTGTTTGGCCCACACAATGGGTTCCATCCCCAGCACTGATAAAAAGGACTGAAACGGCGTGTAGTTCAGGGCTGAGAGAGAGGGAGCCTGCCACCTTCCGACCTTATCTAGGTGTCTGCCTCCCTATCCACCGCTCCCATCTCTCCCGAGCCCTAACGCCCTCCCCCTCCTGCAGGTCCTAGGGAAAGCGGGGGTTATGATGAGGTGAGGGGGTTTCAAAAAGGACTCCTCCTCACCCTCAGCCAGGGCTCCCAAAGAGAGGACAATGTACTCACAACAGTATCTGTTTTTGAAATGAGGCCTCCTGTAGCTCAGGCTGGCCTCAAACTGACTATTTAGCCCAGGATCACCCTGAACTACTTGCTTCTTGGTCTTCCCGTCTCCATCTCCCAAAGGCTGGAGCTTTAAGCAGATACCACCACACTCCGTTTACAACGCGGCTCTGCGCATGCTTAGGCAAAGGCTACACTGAGCTACATCCTCGGATCTCCTCCCTCCCCAACCCTCTTTTCTGTGACAAGATCTCACTTTGTAGCCTGAGCTGACCCAGAACCTGCTATGTGGGCCAGGCTGGCCTTGAACTTGTCCTCCTCCTTCCTGCCTCTGCCTCCCCCAGTCGTATGCCTCCTTAGAGGCACTCAAACATCAGCTCCTTACAGAGACATTTCC